ACCTCAACATAAATCCCTCTACAACGAACATAATAGAAGAGAAAGTGGGAAGTAGCCTCAAATGCCTTGGCACAGGAGACCACTTCCTGAGTAGAATACCAGTAGCACAGACACTGAGAGTGACAATTAATAAATGGAACCTCACAAAACTGAAAAGCTTCTGTAAAGCAAAGGACACCATCAATAAGACAAAACAGCAGCTACAGAATGAAAAAACATCTTCAGCAACCCCACATCTGACAGAGGGCTGATGTCCAAAATATACAAAGAACTCAAGAAACTAGACATCAAAAAACCAAACAATCCAATTTTAAAATGGGGTAAAGACCTAAATAGAGAATTCTCAATAGAATAATCCTCAAATGGCTGAAAGACACCTAAGGAATTGTTCAACATCCTCAGTCATCAGGGAAATACCAATCAAAATGACTCTGAGATTCCATCTTATACTTGTCAGAATGGCTAAGATCAAAACCCAAGTGACAGATCATGCTGGAGAGGATGTGGAGTAAGGAGAACACTCCTCCACTGCTGGTGGGAGTGCAAACTTGTACAGTCACTTTGGAAATCGGTATGGTAGTTTCTCAGAAAATTGGGAGTCAATCTACTTCAAGACCTAGCTATACCAGTCTTAGAAGTATACCCAAAGGATGTTCAGTCATACCACAAGGATACTTGCTCAACTATGTTCACTGCAGCATGTTTTGTAACAGGCAAGACCCTGAAACAACCTAGATACCCCTCAACCAAAAAATGGATAAAGAAAATGTGTTACGTTTGCACAATGGAGTATTTCTCAGCTGTTAAAAAAACAATACATCAGGAAATTTGAAGGCAAAGGAATGCATCTAGAAGAAAAATCATCCTAAGTGAGGTAACCCAGACCCAGAAAGACAAACATGGCATGTACTCAGCTCATAAGTAGACACTGGCTGTAAAGTAAAGGATAACCATGCTATAATCCACAGCCATGGAGAGTCTAGGTAACAAGGAGTGCCCAAAGAAGAACCGTGGATTTCCCAGGGAAGGGGAATAGAAGAGATACCCTGGGTGAACCGGGGTAGGTGAGAATGGGAATAGAAGAGATACCCTGGGTGAACGGGGGTAGGTGAGAATGGGAATAGAAGAGATACCCTGGGTGAACGGGGGTAGGTGGGAAGGGGAATAGAAGAGATACCCTGGGTGAACCGGGGTACGTGAGAATGGGAATAGAAGAGATACCCTGGGTGAACGGGGGTAGGTGAGAAGGGGAATAGAAGAGATACCCTGGGTGAACGGGGGTACGTGAGAATGGGAATAGAAGAGATACCCTGGGTGAACGGGGGTAGGTGAGAAGGAGAATAGAAGAGATACCCTGGGTGAACGTGGGTAGGTGAGAAGGGGAACATGAGGACCACACTGGGGTGACATAGAGGGGGAGAGTAATGCAAGAGATGTTTTGATGGCGGGGAAGCATTTAGAGACTCCCATGAATCTACAAGGATGGCCCCAGCTAAGACTCCTATCGATAGTGGAGAGGGTGCCTGAACTGGCCTTGCCTGTAATCAGATTGATGACTGCCCTAACTGTCATCACAGAGCCGTTATCCAGTAACTGATGGAAGCAGATGCAGAGATCCACAGCAGAGCACTGAGGGGAAAACTTCTTGTGACAACCCACAGGAAAATCTCTCTCTCTCTCTCTCTCTCTCTCTCTCTCTCTCTCTCTCTCTCTCTCTCTCTCTCTCTCTCTCTCTCTCTCTCTGTCTCTCTGTCTCTGTCTCTGTCTCTCTCTCTGTATATATGTGAATTTACCACTTTGGGGTGGAGATAATAGATGGGGGAGGGGGACCTTTGGAAGGAAGCCACACACATGTTCCTTTTTCTTGAAAAGATTGAATCCACAAAAGAGCCCTTTACTTCCTGATTAAGATTTAGATCTGATAATAAAAAGGGAAATGAAGATAATACATATTTTATGCCCCAGCCTCTCTGGCAGTGATTAATATTTCTTCATGCCCTGAGGACACAGCAGAAGCTATTGTTTTACAGTCATTTGTGGATATGAAATACAGTTCCCAGTGGTGCACTATAGATCAGCCATGCAGGTTTATGATCTGTCTCCACCATGATTTCTCAGAGATCAGTTATCTTATATTCATCTTGGATTAATTACTCAGGTATTTTGTAGTTATTTTGTTCACAGAGATAATCTTGTATTGGATAGCGATTGGATTTTGGCACAAATTAACCCCTTTAGCCAAAGACTTCTTCTGGCCAGTGAGATGGCTTGGGGGGTAAAGGTGCTCTCTATATACACCTGGTTACCTGAGTTTGATCCCTGGAACCCACACAAAGGTGGACAAGAGAACTGAGCTCACAAAGTTTTCTTCTAGCCACCACATGAGCTCTGAGACCCACACAGCCCCCACACCATAGGAACATCTCACAATGATGATGATGGTGGTGGTGATGATGATTCAGATGATTATGCTGCTGCTGCTGCTGCTACTGCTGAACCCAAAGCCTTCCTTGGTGATGTAGTATACTTGCAAACAACCTTTATATAGGAAGGATCTTCGAGATCTTGGTAGATGGTTATTTTTTAAAAACACCCCGAAGAGAGAAAACTCTCTGTAAGAGTGTAACCGTGGGAAGTTTAGGGATGACTCAGTGGTTAAGAGAACTGGCTGCGCTTACAGAGGACCTGGGTTCAGTTCCCAGCACCCACGTGGTGACTCATGGCCATCTGTAACTTCAGTTCCAAGGCATCGTAAGCCCTCTTTTGGACTCTGCGGGTACAAGGCATGTATGGGAAATACACATACATGCAGACAAAACGGCCACACACACAAACATTTAACAGTTTTTTTCTTTTTTTTTTTAAAGATTGTAATGTTGGCCTGCTCCACAGGAATTCATTGTATTCCATATTCCGCCGATGGGCTTTGGTTGCAAACACACGGGACGGGGATGTCTTCCTAGACTTAAGAGGTAGAAACCACTGGCACCATGACGCTCTTGAACTCAAGAAGGTGCTGAGAGAGACTTTGCCTTTCAAGTCTGTATCCCCACAGGAATCACCTGTGCTGCTCTCCCTATGTCAACCTCAGCACTTTCCAGTGAGCCCCTTAGCGGGCTTGCTTCTTCCCATGCCAGCACATCCTCTACCTGAGTCTGAACTCTGACTGTGCCACTCACACTTAGTTTATAGGGAGTCAGCAATCCCACCCCACACAGTGGTGTCTCCTAAAGAGAGGACATGCGCAAGACCTGTGTGGATGGACACAGCTTTGACTGGCATCAGTTCAGGAAACCAGGGTAAAGGCATCCCTTTATTGTGTTCTCCCCATGGTGTTTTCTGGAGTACTGAAAAATCTGTTTGGTGCTAATGTGTTATCAGACCTCTCTATGTCTAACTTCATCCCTTAGCTAAATGAAGGACACACCGATTTTCAGAACAATGAACAAAGAGTCTTTGGTTGGAATTTTATAATTCGAATTTAGCTTAATCTGTTTCTCTTTGTGTCTCTGCTCTTGTTTACCTATATTATCTTTTCCCCCTGCATTTACCTTTCTATACATTTACTTTTTCCTAGTTACACACACACACACACACACTCTCTCTCTCTCTCTCCCTCTTTAGGTGTTTGAGACAGAGTTTCTCTGTGTAACAGATCTGACTGTCCTGGAAGTTGCTTTGTAGACCAGGCTGGCTTTGAACTCAGAGAGATCAGCCTGCCTCTGACTCCTGAGTTCGCCATCACTACCTGGATAGTTACATATATTTTCAACCTCTAGTTTATGATATACAGGCTTTATATTTAATATACTAATATAAAACATACAACCCATTTGCCTATAAAACATAATTTACAAAGATATAAGAATAAAGCAATGTCATAAATGGCTTAAAGATGCAGTGTAAATTATAAAGGGGATAATCTGTAGAGCACATCAATGCAGGAACATGATGGAAGCTGGGAAACTTGTCTTCACACGACTGATGAACTTGAGGTACCACACTCTTCTTCTGGTCCAGTTCTATACAAAGGCACACTGTGGTGGTCATGTGAGTATTGTCACACTTAGGCTCATGCATTTGAACACTGGGTTTCCAGAGGGTGGTGCTGTTTGGGGAGGTTAGGAACCTTTAGGAGGTGGAGTTTTGCTGGAGGAACTGCACCCCTAGGGGGCGCCCTGAGAGTTCACAGCCATCCCCTACATCCTGTTCTCTCCCTCTGTTTCCTCTGTGTTTTCTGAGATGGAAATGCCACTAACCAGCTTCCTGTTCTGGCCTCTGTCGCCATGCCTTCCTCACCGTTATGGACTCTATCCCTCTGGAACTATAACCCAAAATAAACTCTTTCTTCTTCTTTATGTTTTTTGAATGTTTTTTGATTCTTTGGGAATTTTGCATCATGCACCCCGATTGCACTTATTTCCAAGCCCTTCTATGTCTGCCGCCCTGTCACCCTTGTAAACCCCCGCAATAGAAAACCAAGCAGGGGCCAGGCGGTGGTGGCGCACGCCTTTAATCCCAGCACTTGGGAGGCAGAGGCAGACGGATCTCTGTGAGTTCGAGGCAGGGCTGGACCGACAGCCTCCAAAACAATACAGAGAAACCCTGTTTCGTAAAAACAAAAACAAAAAAACAACAACGACAAAGAAAATCCAAGCAGGTCCAGTTTGTGTTATCTATATACTCACTGACCTGCCTCTTAACTAGGACAGAGTCCTTCCCCTCCCATACCCCTGCCATGAGTACCCCTCTCCCACACCCCTGCCGGAAGCCTTCCCCTCCCATGCCTCCACCTGAAGCCATCAGTTGCGGAGAGCTAACTTCAGCATCCTTGTTGCACATTCTAAGCGTTTTCTCCTCTGGCTTCCTGTTTGGGCTGTTACATTTTAGGGTGAGGGTAGGGTGGGGATAGGGGTTGCACAGAAGCTTCCGCATCCCCCTCAACTGTGCTTCTGTGGTCACCGGCATCACTGCAAAAGTAACTTCCTTGCTCTTTATAGTCAGCAGGAACATGGACCATGGCAACAGCACAGACCTCGAACACAGCCCCTGGCTACAGTAAGACCACAGACTCAGACAAGGCCCTCAGAGGCAGCCAGGACCACATATGTCACTCAGCTTGGCCTCAGGTGGCTTTGTAGGCCACTCACATCAATATGGCCCCCAGAGGCAGCAAGGTGCTCGGACATCAACAATGGCTTTCAATGGCAGCCCAGACCATGGACGTCTGCAAGGCCTCCGGTGGCAACATGGACCATGGACATCAACACAGACACTGGCTGCAGTAGGAACACGGACCCACACATAGCCCTGGGCAACAGCACCGGTATGGACATCACCATGACCTCAGATGGCAGCCCAGGCTGCTCACACCAGGCTGGTCCTCACCACCACCACATCCCCGGTTCCGCCTCTCTTCACAGGGCACACACCGCTCTGCTGCTTTTATCTCTTGCTTATCACAGCAGCATCTACTACCTGTGCCACAAGGTGGGTGGACTGACTGTCTTCTACCAAACTCCTCCTCCTCTAAGCTGCTTCTCATCGTGGTGTTTTAATGCAGCAACAGAAAGTAACTAATACAGATATGAACACTAGCATCCATCTACTTAGGCGATTTTTGTCAATTTAGGGAGCCGCCCCATTTTCCCTATGTAACTACGAAAGGAGAAAACCCCAGAAACTGCAGCAGCCATTTCTGAGACCCCAGAGTCTGTAGCCGGAGGACCAAAGCTCACACGCTGAGGAAGGCAGGGTAGACAGCTGGAGGGTCGCAGCCTGGCAGGACCATCTTGGACTCCGAGTTTCTGGCCATGCAACCACCTTGCCTCAAGTCTCCTTGCAGAGTGAAGAAGTAGATTCCGAGCTGTGGAACTCACTCACCCAGGTGCCCTTCTGACTTGCTGCTGAATGTATCCCCAACAATTGTTTCCTGGCCTACCTCTTCTTCCTCGTGAAGGTCCCTGCGTATTAGCTACTTTCCTCGTGGTTTCCCCTCCAGAAGGTCACCTGCGTATTAGCTACTTTCCTGTTGCTGTGACAATCACCATGACCAAAGTGACTTATGGACGGAAAACTTGATGTTGGCTCAGTGTTCCAGAGGAGTGAGTCCGCCCCGGCTGGAAGGTGTGGCACCAAGCAGCAGGCCTGGCAGTCAGGGCAGTAATCTGAGAGAGAGCTCATGTCTTCCACTGCAGGCTCAAAGCAGAGATCCAAGCAGAAGTAGTGCAAGGCTTTTTACTCTTGAAGCTCTAGGGATGCATTTTCTCCAGTAAGGCAACAACAAACTGGGGACAAAGTGTTCAAGTGCAGAAGACAGTGGGGGACAGTTCTCATCCAAGCTGCCTCAGCGGCTTTCATTCTAGCTCTTCAGAATGTTTCCAGCTTCGTAGCCTTTTCAGGTGACATTCTTTACCTGCTGCGCTGCCCTCCCCATTCCATCCCGTGTGACTTTAACTCTCAGCTGAGGCTCACCCTACAGGCAGGCGAGCCTCTGCCCTGAGCACTCGTGGCTTACCTTTGCCTTCCCACAGTGGCCATGGATTCTGGTGAGTGTCTGCTTTCCTCATCAGACCATGCCCCGGGAGAACAGGAGTCATCCATCTTACTCGGTGTCCTCATTATGTCCTCGTGCGGTGTAGATTATTATCCGAAAATATTTTTGCCCTGGAACAACGGTATGCAAGCACTAGAAACCCTAGAGACCCGACACTGGAGGCTGTGTCCCGGTCCTCTGTGTCCCGGTCCGTTGTGTCCTGGTCTGCTGTGTCCTGGTCCCGCCTCTGCCGCACAAACACCTCGTGCGGCAGTTTTCTGAGCTGAAGAACAGAGAGCAATGGCACTCCGTCCTGTACGTGTAAACCTCCAGAGAACTGTCGTGAAGTTTTCCTGAGGAGACATATAAAACAGCTGTGTACTTGGTATGAGTTTCATTTCTGTTGCAGTGATAAAACACCCTGAACAAAAGCAACATGGGGGAGCAAAGGGTCAACGTGTTTACAGTTCCAGATTGTAGTTTGACACATATATACATATATATGTATATACACACACATATACATACATGCACATGCATACATATACATACATACACACATACATACATGCACACACATATATACATACATACACACATACATATACATACATGCACATGCATACATATACATACATACACACATACATACATGCACACACATATATACATATATATATACACACATAGATACATACATACACACATACATATACATACATGCACATGCATACATACATACACATATACATATACATACATACACACGCATACATACATGCACACACATATATACATACATACACACATACATATACATGCATGCACATGCATACATACATACATATATACATATACATACACACATGCATACACACATACACATATATACATATGCATACACACGCATACACACATATATATATATATACATACATACACATGCATACATACATACATACATGCATGCATGCATACATACATATGGGAAGTCAGGGCAGGAACTCAAGCAGCCAGTCACAGTGCATCCTCCGTTAGGATCAGAGAGACAGACAGCACTCCTGCATCCCACTTACACTCACGAGCTCTCTCCTTTCTTTCGGGATCCCGCCTATGGAATGGTGCCACTCTTGGTGGCATGGGTCCTCCTATGTCAATTCATATCTAGGACAACACCCCACAGACATGCCACAGGCTTGTCTAGATGATTCCCCAGTTGAAACTCTTCCCAGGGATGGGCAGTTGTCCCACCCAAAAGTCCTACCTCCAGTGAACCTTCTACCATAGACACTTTGGTACTTCTAAAATGGCGGGTAGCTGAGGCAGGAGGGAGCTGTGTTTGGATCTCGGGAACTATTCAGGGAAAGATCTTAAAGGGTCTCGTGGAGACCTTGTGACCTGTCATCCCTTCAGGTGGTAATCTGAATAGCCCCAGTCCCACAGACCTAGCCACATACTGTAGAATTCATTGATTTCATTCTTAGAGCTGCAGTCCAAGGTCTTGGCAAGTCACCACAGCTACTCTGCCTCATTATGATGGTGGTCACACCAGTCACTGAGGAAAGAGGTTATGCTACACAATTGTATGAATCTGTCTAGCTGATAAACAATGCCGTCATCATTGACACCTCAGTAGCTTCATTCGTGAGCTTAGGTGTGTATCCCAAACAATCCCACAGTTTCTGTCTCTAGGTATCTGTACCTAGCTGCTGTTAGAAGAACCACAGCTCCATAGCCTATGTCCACCATGCTTTAGATCTTCAAGTTCAGCTCTGTACAAGTCTTGTGTTCTGAGAAACGTGTCTTATCTGGTAACTTGTTCACCAATGCACAATTGTATTTAAAATGAACAAATGTTTGTGAGGATGGGATTATGACATCCTTTATTTTTTTTCCACTGTAGTGGTTTGAATGATAAACAGTCCCCATACAGGCAAGTGTTTAAACATGTTGTTCCCAGGGGGTGGTGCTGGTAAAGGAGGTTATGGACATTTGAGGGGTGGAGTCTTGGAGGAAGTACCTCACCAGGAGTGGGTTTTGAGGGCTTAAATAGTCACCCCACTCCCTGTTCTTTTTCTGTGGTGATTTCTTTCTTCTACAAATAAAGCCTGTCTGTGGGGGTAGGAGGGTCAGAGAATGGAGCTTGCCACTAGCTAACCATAGAGATCTGGAGGTCTGTACAGATAGACAGGAAGTGAGGTATCTGGGCAGAAACAGGGTGTAAGCAGGGAGAAACAGGAAGTCGCTCTCTTGTCTGCTGGGATGCTAAGGAGGTAAGGTGTGCTGTGGCTCTCAGCATTTCCCTCTATATTTGACTCTGGGTTTTTATTACACAGACCAATTAACAACGCCATTTACATTTTTCTGTTTCTGGTGATAGATGAAATGTGATCAGCCGGCTTACTGCTTCCTTCCCATCATGATGGACTCTATCCCTCTGGATCCATAAGCTAAAATAAACCCTTTCCTCCTTATGCTGCTCTTTGTCATGGTGTTTTATCAGAGCAACAGACAAGTAACCACCACACTTGTTTATTCTGAAATCTCAACTGGTGCAAGAGGATAATGGTGAAAAAAATCAGTTTATAGTAGTACCTTCATATCTTAACACCACCCTGGAACCCTTGGCTTGTTTAAGTGACTCTTTCATGTATGTTCAATAGTGTTTATTGAGACATAGTTTGAGATAATGTGAAGAAATAAAGGAGCGTGGGGGAGGGACAAAGAGAAGACAAGGAAAGGGCAGAGCAAGGGAGAAATGGAGGAAAAAAAAACCCCAAATCTTCCCAAGTTAAAGGATATTTGAATAAGTTGTAAGGTGTTTTTAGAAGGAACATTATGCAGCTGTTTAAAAGGGTAGCAGGTATCTTTTTGGGGTCACTCGGTGCATCTGTGGCATATTAAATCACAAATGCAAATTGTAGCATCATTTGCAAAGAAGACACGCACACACACACACACAACAGCTCAAGCATTTCTGCACGCACGCACATACATGTACATATACATACACCCCCACGCGCATACATGCACACATGCACACACATGTGCATACACACATAGGCACACACACATACACATAGGCACACACGTGCATACACACGTACATATGCATGCACCCCCCCACACATGCACACACACAAGTACACACACATGCACACACACGCACATACATACACATAGGCACACACGTGCACACACACATGTACACACATGTGCGCACACACACACGCAGGCACAAGCACTTGCTCTTGACTTTATGAGGTGCCAAACTGTGGTGACCAGTGACCAGCCAGCTTTCTGCTCCTGTCACCATTCCTTCCCTGACATGATGGGACTCTACACGTCTGTGCCTGAAAGCCAGCATAACGCTCTCGTTCCCTCACCTGCTTTTTACCAGGGTGTTTTATCACCACAGCAGCAGACCAGGTTGCCCTGGAGCACAGCCCTCCTGCCTCTGCCTCCAAAGGGCTAGGATTAGAGGTGTGTGCCATCAGAACTGGATATACTTCATTTTTCTGTTATAACAACTAGTACCATAATGAACATGTGACTGAAGATGACCTGATGAACAAGCGAGCATTAATGATTGTTGAATAAAGGTTTAAAGATCAAATAAAACCTCCCTTATTTTGAATGGATGCCAACAACAACATTGAAAAGTCATAAACCAGCTTATGATGTTTTTAATGAACCTGTTACAGAGGATGAACATAAATACTGCCCTCCACATTCATTATGCATCAGCCTTCCTCCTCCTGTGACTGTGTACTGCTCCGCGTGTTGCTTTTATCACCTGCTGGCTCTCCCGTGGTTATTTAAGAGCATCGTAAAACAACAAACCAGATGTGCTTGACACCCGAATAAGCTAAGTCCTGCTCATTAAAGCCAAGCAATAGTGTGATAAAGGCTTTAATGCTGATTTCTTACTTAACCACCTATTTCAGTGGATCTCCACCTTCCTAGTGCCAAAACCCTTTAACACAGCTCCTCAAGTTGTGGTTCTCCACCTTCCTAGTGCCAAAACCCTTTAACACAGCTCCTCAAGCTGTGGTGACCCCACCACACAATCCTTTTCACTGCTGCTTCATAGCTGTAATTTTACTACTGCCCCATGTCGTAATGCAAATATTTGTGTTTTCTTATGGTGACCCCTGTGAAAAGGTTGTTTGAACCCCAGAGGGGTCATGACCCACAGATTGAGAATTCTAGCTGGAATGCTGTGGAATTCAGGAGGACATGCGGTTTCTCTGTCACCGCCTCTGTTACTGACTGGAGCTCATCAGAATTGCCACCACAGCTCTGTGGTCGGCCTTTCTAGGTTTGAGGCATGAGACTTACCCTCTCTTCAACTCAGCCTCCTGTTCACGTGTCTCTGGTTTGGAGAAGGCGTTCATGTCAACTCCCTGTCTGAGACAAATCCTGCCTTGCCTTTCTCCATTTCTAGAGTATATTATTTTACAAATAAGATACAAGATGTCCAGTTAACTTTAGGTTTCATATAAAAGAACCAAATAAAATTTTCAGTTAAAAAAGTATGTCTCACACAACATTAGGGAAATACCTCTCTCTCTCTCTCTCTCTCTCTCTCTCTCTCTCTCTCTCAAAGATTTGAGTTTTGTACATTATATGTGGGATGACATTCCACAAAACTCAGAGCAACCAGACAGTATCGTACATAATCAGCCAAATGTTGGTTTTTCTTAGTAGCCTAGCCTGCTATCTGTGTATTTATCCAACTGTGACTTGCCAGCCACCATTTGTCCTAGAGTGGCCAGCACCTTTGCTTTATGAAATTCAGGGTAGCACGAAGGGTGTCAGTTTGAGGCTGGAGAGATGACCAGCACTGTAGAGTATCAACTGCTCTTGCGGGGGACTCAGCTTAGAATCCCAGCACCCATGCCGGGTGTCTCACAGCCATCTGCAATTCTAGCTGCAGGGGCATCCGACCCATCTCACATCATGTGCATATAACCACACACGGGCCCACCGTCACATACAAAGTAAATCACTAAAAAGAGAATGCTAGTTTTAAAACCTATGTACTAGATGGCTAACTCTTATAATTTTACATAGTAAGCTTTAAAAAGTAAATGTATCCATATGCATATTCAAACACTGCTTATTTTATATACTCTTATTTTTTTAACCATGTGACTCTAGGTTTTTTTATTAGTTCAAATGAAATTTTTACCTGATGGCTTTAGATTTTATGTTTATTCAGAAGCTTTGGCCCATCCCTGATATTGAATTTTTTATTTTCTTTCTTTTGATGGATTCAGGCTGATAAGCAAACAAAATGAAAATGCCAATGCTTATTGAATCACACAATATAAATCTCAACTCCCACAAGGCCCTGGCATCGGAGATCTAGTTCACAGATTATTTTACTCCAATAAACTTTCTCTAGAGATGGCCTATGTAAATTTCTCTCTGCCACAGATGCAAACCATTTACTGTTCCAAGAAGTAAACAAGCTGTGTGCTTATAAAACAGCATAGGTTCCCAGTAGCCAATCAGATTCACACGTAGGCTTACAGTTCCTTTCTTGGAAAATTGGCCAGGATGATTCTGTGTA